TCGGGTATGCAGCCACCTCGACATAATGCTCACCTTGGTATAAGGTTCRCCTTGGCATCAAAGCACCTTGGTATCCAATCCAGTTTGGAACTAAAAAATTGAAGTACCAGCTCGGGACCAACAACTCGAATCGCCATGTAACTGATTCCCGCGTAAATAACTCCAAAGGTCTCTCCAACAGATCCCAAATCTCTCGAGATCATGATGARCTAAAAGATCATGACATTTCTRAGATSACGATGAGGACTCRTCCCGAATCCACTGGAGTCGAAAGTGGAATGATAAGCTTTACCTGTATGCTGCTCCGTTGGAAGTGGAACAAACTTTATCTCCACACCCTGGATATCTCGGAGCTCTTTCGTGAGCTCCACGACTATGCTAGTATATAAAGGCACCAACCCCAATGGTGCAAAGGTACCTATGATTTCTCCACTCTCTAGCTCTTTAACGTCTCTAAGCTTTCAAAGCTTTTCAGCTCGCATCATGTTATAGTCACACCATCCGGCAGCGCACTGCGGCGCTGTCATAGGCAGCAGCACGCACAGCAGCAGGAACCGCCTGGCAGCGCCGCACAACAGTAGGAACCGCCTGGCAGCGCCGAACAGCAGCACGCATCGCCGATAGCGTGCAGCACACACCGCCAGGCAGCAGCGTGCATCGTACGCACCGTACGGTAGCACGCACTGCGCACACGCCCGACACACACGGCAGCGGCACCATGGCGCACAGCACATACCGCCAGGCAGCAGCGCACACCGCACACACTGCACGGCAGCACGCACCGCGCACACGCCCGGCACTGCACGGCAGCGGCACCATGAGCCGCGCACACGCACCCATCTGCACGCAAGGGAAGACGCAAGGGAAAGTAGGGCTTTCTTGCCGTGGACCGACCCGTGACGAGATCCTACGCACGGGACCATAACATTTGGTATCAGAGCCAAACGTCACGGGCGATATGGAGCAGCTATCATTCAAGGTCAACGAACTGGAACATAGGCTAGCAGAAACCAGCACGGAGGTTCGTGAAGTCAAGAAAAATGTACGGGAGATAAGACGCCTGCTGGAAGCATTCCTCTCCAATAAGGAAAGGAGTTCTATGGGAAGCACCAACACAAACAGCCGCCGTCCGGACTGGGCAGAGGCATCCAGCGAACAACAGATTGCTGCCCCTACAGCCGCAGTTACTCCCAAGGATCAGCGCGCGGAGGATGAAACTGTAAAGTCTCCTCCTTTGGTCGGGGACAATGTCACGAACATTATAGTAGAACCTGCAGAATGCGCTCCTTTGACGAAGACAGGTGGGCTGGGCGATGTTGCTGGGGCTTTACCGAAGGCCTTGGCTCGGCGTGGACAGGGAGTTATGGTTGTGGCACCACAGTATGGTAACTATGCAGAAATCCAAGAAATAGGAGTGCGCAAGAGATGTAAGGTGGATGGGCAGGATATGGAGGTAACTTTCTTTCAAGCTTATAATGATGACATGGATTTTGTGTTCATCGACAGCCCCATGTTCCACAATTTTGAGAAGAATATATATATGGGGGGCCGAGATGATATTTTAAAATGCATGGGTCTCTTCGATAAGGCTGCTCTTGAGGTTCYCTTCTGTAAGTATACCCGGTGCATTCCTGTGATCCACAACGTAGCACATCGGGGCCATGGACAAGTATGCGATTTATGTTATGAAGATCTTCCACAAAACTACTTCAAACTATATGACCCAGGAGGTGGGAAACACTTCAATGTCCTTGCGACTGGCCTGAGTGCAGCAGATCGTGTAGTCACTGTAAGCCATGGTTACGCCTAGGAGCTGGAAACTAATGAAGGTGGCTGGGGTCTGCATCAAATAATCCAGCTTTATGCACTGAGATACGGGGCAGTCCCAGTTGTTCATACTGTTGGTGGACTGAGAAATAGTGTGCAACCGTTTGATCCATTCGTAGAGTCCCAAGCCATGTATCCGGAATACGAGCTTGAGGAAAATCTCGTAGTCCGGGAGGGGTGTAATGTTATGGTCACACCATCCGGCAGCGCACTGTGGCGCAGTCATAGGCAGCAGCACACACAGCAGGCCGCATAGCAGCAGGAACCGCCTGGCAGCGCCGCACAGCAACAGGAACCGCCTGGCAGCGCTGCACAGCAACACGCACCGCCGATAGCGTGCAGCACGCACCGCCNGGCAGCGCTGCACAGCAACACGCACCGCCGATAGCGTGCAGCACGCACCGCCAGGCAGCAGCGTGCACCGCACGCACAACACGGCAGCACGCACCGCGCACACGGCCGACACCACACGACAACGGCACTATGGCGCACAACACGCACTGCCAGGCAGCAGCGCGCATCGCACGCACTGCACGGCAGCCTGCACCGCGCACACGCCCGGCACCGCACGGCAACTACGCAGCAGCAGCGCTGTGCGCACGCACCGCACGGCAGCGGCACCATGAAACGTGTGCACGCACCCGACAGCAGCAGCAGAGCGGGGCCCACACAACAGCTCATAGGGGTGGGCCCACCCTTATCTGGACACATCAAGCCAACTCTCCGCCAGCTTGTCATATCCCTTATCCCTATCTTATCCCTTATCCCTTATCTTATCTTTTTCTTATCCTTATCTTATCTTAAGTAAGAGTGAGTTACCATTAGGAGTAGGTAATTAGGAGTTTGAGTTTAATTAGGAATTTCCTTCTGTAATCTCCTATTTAAGGAGCTACGAATTGAAAAAAAAGCATTCAGTTTTCTTGTCAAGAAAAGAGTGAGGAGAGTTCGGGTGGTCACTTGGACAAATCACCCCAAGGGAGAGTTCGGGTGGTCGCTTGGACAAATCACCCATTCAGTTTCCACAATAGGGTCTGCACGCAGGGGAAGACACAAGGGAAAGTAGGGCTTTCTCACCGTGGACCGACCCGTGACGAGATCCTACGCGCGGGACCATAACACATCAATTTACTGACTTAAGCATCGGAGCGACCTTGCTAGTCTAGCCACCCCAGGTTCTCTAATCATTTCTTGCAAGTTCACTTAGCTTGCCGTTCGACTGGAAGCCAAATCATCCTCCAGTAGGGTGTAGTTAGATCACACAACATCAGGTACGTTCAAGTTCTATGCAAAGCTAACATTCTATGTGTTTTACCAACATAGTTCCTGGATCAACGTTGAAAAAAAATTGCGATCGAAAAGGGTGCAAAAACAAAATTTTGTTCATAAAATATGCAAACAATTTAACTGATATTTTACAGATTCTGAAAGCAGTTTCACGTAGCCATATGTTTTTCACTGAATCAATCAAATGGATATTTTACAAATGACTCCGATTTGTGTGGGTGAAAAAAAAATGAACAATTCTAAGGTCTGGAAAGACTTGAGCGCACGGCTGAGCAAGTATACCTACAAGCAAATTACATATAGGTTGTTAATGTTTTAGCTCTGCTTAAACAAGCACGTGTACACCAACCTAATTAACACGACTCAGCTTACATACCTGTCCTACATTGAGTTTTGACTTKCAGGTTACAATCATMACGGCAAGTAGAATTTCTAAATGGAAATGACAAACAAAAAGCTTTCTTGGTAGTTTTGACCGTTAGCTGCTGATTGGTTTGAAAGTTTAGATTATCAGACCATTGAAATACTGTGATCATCAGTTGTCCAGCTTGTGATGAGCAGATAGGGAAGAAGGATGGAAGTGGAAGAGGGTAATAACGCCGATGCTGGTGACATCAATGAAGGCAACAATGATGTTCTCTGCAATAAGTTAGCTGATTCTACACTACGAGAGCTTGATGGTATGTTTCCTATGTCTGGTAATTCTTCATCGTCCCTTGGTTCAGAATGTTCTATTCATAGAGTCCCTAATAAATTTTACAAAGGAGGTCAAAATTATTACGTACCCGAGTTGGTAGCTATCGGCCCTTATTACCATGGAGATGAAAGGTTCATAAACATGGAAGTGCATAAACAGCGATATGTTCATGCACTTCTCGGACGAATATCAACACCCGAGAGTAGACCAGAAAAATTAAAGGCATTATTTGAAGTTGTAGGAAACTTAGAAGAAAAAGTGCGCGAATCCTATTCATCAGACTCCATCATTGTGAATGAGGAGAAAAAAGATGATTTCAGAAAAATGATTCTATTTGACGGTTTGTTCATAGTTGAGCTCTTGCTAAGGAGTGAGGAGCCGGACACATACAAGAAAGATCCCAACGATCCCATATTCAATACCAGTTGGATGTATGCAAGTTTGGTTCGCGACATGATATTACTTGAAAACCAACTTCCTCTCTTCATTCTTGAGAAGTTATTCAGCAAAATGAAGGAATTTGACCAAAATTCTCAAAATAAGACAATTACAAGGCTCGCTCTTCGGTTTTTTAAAACTTTAATTCCTAATGACCAGGAAATATTAAGCGAGGGCGATGGAAAATTTGCAAAAACCAAGCATTTACTCGATGTGTTATACAAGGTGTTGTTTGATGTCGAGTGCGGTAAAGCAACCAACTCCAATTCACGAGGCTTGTCGAGTGCGGTAAAGCTTGAAAGGGCTGGGGTGAGGTTCAAGAAGGCCGATAAGCATAGATGTTTCTTGGACATCAAGTTCAAACACGAGGCGTTGGAAATTCCAGTATTACACATTGAAGATCATTTTGAGGTTTTTCTAAGAAATCTAATTGCATGGGAGCAATGCAGTAACATTAAGGAGAACCGCCCTTTTGTAGTCACATCCTATGCGTTCTTGATGGAAAGCATGATTAACACCGAGTCGGATGTGGAACTTCTCTGTCGCCGTGAAATTATCACCCACAGCCTCGGTTGTGATGAGGATGTCTCTTTACTCTTCAATAATCTCTGCAAGGAGGTTACTCTTGAAAAGTTTTTCTATTCTGAGGTTTGTGAACAGGTAGAAGATTATTCCAAGACTCTGTGGCATACGTGGCGAGAATGGTTAACGCGCAAATATTTCCGAAGTCCATGGGCGTGCATGTCACTATTTACTGCAATGTTATTGCTTCTATTTGCCTTTGTAGGGGCTGTAGGGGGAGTGTTTTCAGCTCTTTCTTACTTATTTCACAAATCCTAAGTCTCCGTTTGTTTGCACTGCAAATTTCATATGCATTTTGATACTTCAGTTAAGGTGGACTTAAGGAGGGCAAGATCAGTTAGAGGAAGAGGAAGAGGCGGGAGAAGCCGGGCCTCGACATAGTCCGAAGGTGATCAGTTTGAGGTGGCTACGATGGTAATGGCTCTTTGTCGCTCAATATGTTGGGATTGTTTTGTTTTTTGTGTTCTTTGTTGAGCGATTGATTGGGCACAAACATCTTGTTCCGGTCGTTAATGTTGTTCTTAGTTTTATTGTGTGGTTTTTCTTCGTTACTTTTTGTATCTAGTACAGATTTGCACCGCAAATAAATTAATAAAGTGAGTCTCAATTTGTTTGCAATGCAAATTTCATTTATATTGGTGTAAATGCATAAGAATGAAAATATGGTATGTAAATTAGAGGTGTAACATGGGACAACCCGTGGCTTGAGCTAAGGCAGGGCCTATGCCCTTCACTATGTTGAGTTCCAGGCCTACTATTTTTCTTTTCTTGTTTTGACAAAAAATTTTGATCTACAAAAGTTACCATTGCCATTTCCAAACTTTACTGGGTACTCTTGCCCCTCACTTCCCCAATGGTTGTGAATTCAAAATTCTCTAAGCTTAATGGTGACCCTTTACCAGTATTCCATGCTCTGAACCCGTCACGTAGAAGTGGACTTCTATTTTCTCAGAGATCTAGTGATCAAGCTTCATGTCCGTCCAGAACATTTTGCTTGAGGGGGTGTATTAGAAGAAAGCTAACGTATAGGACACAAAACTTAATACTTATTCGATCCCAAACTCTGAATTGTGTTATAAGCTCTGCATATTACCTACTGTTTTAGATGTCTGTTCTAACTAAAACATTTGTACTATAAATACTTGCTGGTCGTATAGCTGATTTATCCATGGAACCAGATTTCAATCACTTCTGTGTTTGCTTTCTTTAACTGGAAAGAGTGTAAATGCATGCATACATATTTATTTGTATTTGCAGTACTAAATATAGTAGTATTTGTACTCTTCGTCAAATAATGGAGCTAAAGAGACTTCCATCCCAGTCTTCTCGCCAAGTTAACAGATTTAACAGGATTATTTCTCAATTTTGTTTCGGCTATAACCACCGATAACAGTAAGGTATTCCTTTATTATTCCTTCAACGACAGTCAGAAAGTCCTCAACGAATCTCTTACAAATTAACGATAAGTTGGGGGAAAGTTTTAGAAAGTTGAAAAATTAATTCTTCCTTGAGAACATTCTGTCAACTTTCTGTTTCTTCTTTATTTTCTATCAATCCAGCAACAAACAAATACAGCCAAAGAAGTAAAATGTATGAAAAGAAGGATTGTATACTTGAGGTCATTCATTTCCTAATGATTTTTAACCTCCTGCTCTTGATAAATATGATTATCGAAGCAATGATAAAATGGTAACGGTCCAAGCCAATCTCAGCCCCGTTGTACCCTTACCTGTTGCTGAACCTGATATAGATGACTCAGCCCAGCTTACTACTCCATTAGCAGTGCATGAACCATCACCTGAACCCGGGCCGTTATCCAACCCACAATCTGTACCCACTTGTGATTCTCAGCCCACATACACTCTGGGCCCACATCTCTTGTTCAAACTTCAGATCCACCACCTGAGCTCACAGCCATACGACCCACTCGTACACGTGCCATCTGAACCTACCAACTATGATCAAGCCGGTAAACTTCCATGTGGGATGCAAACCATGAACGCTGAAATTGATGATCTTAATAACACCAATACAATACATGGACTTTGACAGTACTGCTTCAGAGTAAGTAAGCAATAGGATGCACATGGGTCTACAAAATCAAACTTAAACCTGATAGTTCCATCGACTTGTTTAAGGCCAGATTAGTGGCCAAAAGATATACTCAGGCAGAAGGAACTGACTATACAAAGACTTATGCTCCAGTTGCAGAACTTGTGACAGCTTGATGTCTCCTCGCACTAGATGCAGCCCGTCAATGGGATGTCCATCAAATGGCGAACTTCAAGAAAAAATATACATGCTTCCACCTCCTAGATTACTTACGGCAGTAGAAAAAATATTTTCTTGGTATCAAAGTCTCTCAGAATGATGATAGTTTCTTC